GATGGGGGAAATGTTGTAATGCCTTTCCCTCCTGTACACTGGGTTACAACCTATTTAACAACTTCAGGATTGCCTACTCAGTTGAGTCGGTTTTTGGACATTCAACGACATCAAAGTTGAAACTATGTCATAACCAGAGGTGATGTCTTTCAATCTTTCTGAGCTGCATATTCCGTGCAGTGGTAAGCGCTCATTTCCTGTGTGTAATTGACACGGCTGTATCCAGGAAAAGACATGCTGACATTTGGTAATACATTCCACCACTCACATCTCATCAAACGCTACTCATCCATGTACAGTCCTCATCCACCGTAGCTTTTGACACGAGTTGGAGTTGATGGGAGGAGCAGACAAATTGAGGTGATGACTGTTAACCTTCACAGGTGCTTGACTTCCCTTTGGTGTGCGGTGTCACTGACGCACGTACATTTGAACAGATCAGAGATGACATCTTGCACCTGAGATTAATAATGCAGGCAGGATCTTTGACCTAGACTACAGACGCATAACAGGATTTAATCAGGAGCTAAACGTAAAGCCCATATGTTTATTTATCTCTTTAGCATTATTTAATCCCACCTAAACGGGAGACATTAGTAATTAATTAATGTGAGGAAAAGTAAAAAGCCCGAGTCCACTCATGTGTGAAACACAACCTACACAGTGAAGCTTGGCTGCCTACAATTAAAGTTTAAACTCATAGCTAATGTAACATTAAATTTACAGCATGCTTTCATCACACATCAAGTGATATTTGACTTTCTTAACTCTGTAGTTTTTTTTCATGCTCACTGTCTGCATGTACGCATTTTTTCAGAAGCAGGTGTAGTTCAGCATTTACTATTAACCTGACAGGTGACGGTTGACTGAACCAAATGAGGTCATGCACTATATAGTGTCTGCAAATTATGGCCTCGGTTTTTTAAAAGCCAGAAGAGTTTTACTATTTGTGCATTATTCCAGGATTAATGTTCAGTGCCTCTGGGTCCAGTTAGTTTTGTGTGCAGCGCATATAAATGATGCAGATTCCTGGTTGGAAAACTGTTGAAGGGAGTTGTGAAAGGTTTATGGGAAACGCTTCCATGGCATATTTATATGTGCACTCAATAGGTAGTTTCATATTCATACTAATTTTGCGAATTATAATCCCCAATTAGTGTCAAAATAGAGAGAAATAAATGGCATGGTCACTTAGCTACTTGTCATTCAGCGTGCAGTGTCCACTGTTTCATAGTCAAATCTTCCCCCACATCTGTGATGTCTGGTATTGAAAAACAAAGATGCCCAGACTGAAGGCCCTCCAACACTGAGCGTGTGGCAAAAATATAACACAAAATTTTGCCTTGGCTGTTGGTGGCTGGCACTATCTATCTATCTATCTATCTATCTATCTATCTAT